ATTGAATAAATGAAAACGACGCATTCTTCACTGACCACCTCAAATCATCACGTACGTCCAACCGCAAAGTTTAAAGTTTAAACTGCAACAATCTCAGCCCTCTTGCGTACTTATTTTACCACACACACACACACACACACACACACACACACACACACACACACACACACACACACACACACACACACACACATACACACACATACACACACATAAACACAAACATAAAAACACGCATAAATGCAAATACACACACAAACAAACACACGCGCGCTTGCAAAAAAACACACCTACAGCACACAAACGCAAATGCGGCAAATTTAAATCAATGCAATAAAGTAATTTAAAAGATGAGTCTCTCACATATTAATTTAATTCATTTGTTAATTAAATTACCAGCGAAAAAATTCAATCAGCCTGCCAATTCGATTTCAATTGAACTTAATTGGATGAATGAATTTGTTGAGAGGGTTCAAGTTTGCTTGCTTGATAGGACGGAATAAAAATTTACTGAGCTGGATGTTTTTGAGTTTTTAAATTTTTAAATATACACAACGAGAGAATAAAAATGGTGGACCATCAAAGTTCGTCTGCCGCCTCCAACCTGCGTGGATTTTTTCAAAAAAAATTTATTTTGCGGTGATGGAAAAAGAAGAAAGTGGAGTGAAGGAAATGTAGGAAAAACAAAAATATTTTTTTATAAAAATAATTATAATTGATCTTATTTTGCTTGAAAAAAAATAACTCAAAATGATATATAATAATAATGTATAATAATAATAATAGCGTTAACGAATGTCATTGAAACCAAATAAACTGACACACGTACCAACTCACACACAGATACACAAACACACAGGCACTTACACTTAAACAAAAATACACAAAAATTTACACAAACACACAGACACGTACCAACAGACATAGACAAACAAACGTAGAAATGAATTTCTGTTACGTCATAAATCTTGACCGCAAACCGTTTTAAACTATCGTCAGGTTTCCTCCCTCTAAAAAAAATCATAAAAAAATGTTTCCATTCTTTTTGGTCGGTTGGTTAGTTGGTTGGTTAGTTAGTTGGTTTGTTGGTTTACTGGTTGGTCGGTTGGTTGGTCGGTTGGTCGGTTGGTTGATTGGTTGATTGATTAGTTGGTGATTGATTGGTCGGTTGATTGGTTTTCTGGTTGGATTGTTGATTGTTTGATTGGTCGATTGGTATTTCAGATGCTTGGGATGTGTTTATTTATTCATTAAATCTTTCCTTCTACGTAAATAGAAGCAGGGGCATCGTCTGTTTGATGCTTTGTTGCTGTTGGTAGTGTTCTCTTAGGTTGTGCTGGTTGGTTGGATGGTTGGTTGGTTAATTGGTTGGTTGGTTGGTTGGTCCCAGTCGATCAGTGAATTAATTACTTGACTAAGGTGATGATTAAAAGAATGTTTGTATGTTTCAACGGTTATTCAAATTGATGTCTGGTTTGTTTGAACAGTTGATTGTCCGGTAGACTGTTTGATTAAATGGATTGAATGGCTAGCTGTAATGTTCTTCAGCTGGTTTACCTTAAAATTGAAATCTGATCACAGCTGTTTGTTATTTTGATTAAATAAAAATTCAAACTGAACAACAGTCAACTAATTTGTAGGACTATCAACTGATTGTTTGTCTTCAAATGAACCGATTGGTCCTGACTATTTATTTAGCCGGATGGTTTTCACCCATTGATCAGTGAGTGACTTGATTGTCTATGCGGCAGACTTGCTGGGTTCACGTGCGGTTAGAATTGCCTGCGGATCACTTGTCCCTGAAGTGTTGAAGGGAGCAAATAAATAATGATTATGTGCTACTGTGTTTGCCTGCGTTCTATGGGCGAGATCGCAGTTTATTATGTTGCATGTATATGTATGTAGGCACATAAATGTTGTATGTATACATATTAATTTTGTATTTATACATACAAATATTGTGTGTATACATACAAATATTGTATGTATACATACAAATATTGTTTGCACGCTTATACAATCGTTTGCACGTGTGTATTTGGTTCTAATAGAATTATTTTATGGGTTCACAGTCTTTCTTCATTTAAAATGTTGAAACTTTTTTAGGTAGCAATTTAAACTCAAGTCAAAAAGTTATAAGCCGGTATATATATATATATATATATATATATATATATATATATATATATATATATATCACGTGTATAAACATCACTGAGTCGTATATATATATATACATACATACATATACATATATATATATTGTCTGAATGGAATTATATATGCCGACGACATAGTGAAACAAGTTTATGGAGATTCTTTGTCAGCAGCAATCTATTCAACAAATCGCCTTTCAATTCACAATTCATTTATTCATTCATTCGTTTGTTTGTTTGTTCACTCATTCATTTATTTATTCTTTTATTCATTCATTCGTTCATTTATGAATGAGTTGAAGTACGTGGAATAATGCCTAAGCTCGACTTCCTGTTAACGTAATTACTTATATGTTCGTGTATACTTAATGTATTTCTATATATCTCTGAGTATCTGAGTGTATCTGTGTATATTTGTGAGTATCTGTTTGTATCAGTGTATATATCTGTGAGTATCTGTTTGTATCAGTGGGTATCTGTGTGTATCAGTATGTATTTGAGAGCATGGACTTTGTGTTGAGGGTTTTATGATTTCTACACTATTGGACAGATGATACCATGCAAACGTGTGATAATTGAAGGATACACTTTTCAAGGACCTCTACAAAACATCTCTTATGATGTTGTACACAATCCAATTGCACACACATTTGTTTAGACAGATGTACATAACCGCACAAAGACGTACAGAGACATACAGACAAATACGCACGCGAACAACATTCAAACGTTTCAACGCCGGTCAGAATTTAAATTGAAAATAAATAAAAATAAATCTAGCGGACGTAACGATCCTGACTTTGTGGCTTACTACTTTTGCCACAACAAACATACGAACATGATCAGAACATACAAACATGATCAGCGTATACAAACATGATCAGAACATACACAAATGATTGAAACAAACAAACAAACAAACATGATCAGAACATACAAACAGTTCATACAAAGAGGCTAAAATAGCAACAAATACAAAACCAATTCTACGCGTTTACGAAACAATGTACAAACAGAATTTGTAAATGCATTTTGTTGTCGATTTTTACACACTCACACATATCTGCACGCACATGCTCCCACCCAAACAGAAGCACACATACACACACACGCGCGCGCGCGGATCGATACGTTTATCTATTTAAACACATTGTCCTCTTGACAATTGCAGGTTGAATGGAAGAAATGAGTGTAAACTTTTGATTGACATCATCAGCACATCACTGAACAAACCGGAAGTGATGCTTGCCATGGTTACCTCCCACGTGACTGATCCACTTCCGTTTCATCAACGTTCGTACGGCGTTGAGGATATGTACGATAATGGTGGCGGTACTGATGATGATCATCCAGGCGGTGCTGCTGATGATGGCGGAGGTGGTTCTGATTATGATGCTGAAAATTACGCGTACCAGCAACATTTTGATGACTACTACAACAACAATAACAATGACAATGACAACAACAATGATAACAACAATAACAATAATCAATATTATTATTACCATTCTAAAAACTATAACAACAGCAACAGCAATAATAATAATAATAATAATATCGACGAGGTAAACACCGATCGCGTTTATAATTACAACGCCTACGCTGACATCAACAACTACAACAACAATAATAAAAGTAATAATTTCAATGATTATAGTAATAATAATAATAATAATATCAACTATTATTATGATTATTCGAATTCGAAAAATAAAAATAACAATTATTTCAATTCATTTTCTACTAACAACAACAACACCAATTCTAAGATCAATAATAGCAACAACATCAACAATAACAACAACAACAACCACTACTTCTACTACAACGTCAACAACAATAACAACAAAATTAACATCGACAGCATCATAAACAAATATAACAACAACAAAACCTTTAACAACAATTTCAACTTATTCAACAACAACAGCAACAGCATAAATTACAACTACTACTACTACGCAACCACAACAAACAGCAACAACAACGTGAATAGCGTGTGGTCGCATAACGCGACGACAGCGACTACAACGACGACAGCCACAACTTTGTTTCACTCTGATGAGGAGGGTTTAGAAGGGGCCACTCTCTTTATTGTTTTTGTCTCTCTCATACTTATATTCATTATTCTTTCTACTGTAAGTTTATTGATTGATTTTTTGACTAATTAACTAATTAAATATTTGGTTGATTGATTGATTAGTTGATTGATTGATTAGTTTATTGATGAGGTGATTGATTAGTTGATTAAATAGTTGATTGATGAGGTGATTGATTAGTTGATTGAATGATTGAACGATTGATCGATCAACTGTTGATTGGTTTGTTGATAATTTAGCTATTTTTTTGAAGGGTCATCTGATAAATCGGTCGATAATTTATTACAGGCAGTCTGATTTGTGAGAGTTTAATTAAGGAGGTGCCTAGCTGACTGATTGATTGATGTGTGACTAACTAGGCGAGGAGATTTCAAAATAATAAATAAACGAACGAACGTACGAACGATTGAACAAATGGATGAATGAATGAATGAATAAATGAATGAATGAATGAATGAATGAATGAATGAATGAATGAATGAATGAACGAACGAACGAACGAACGAACGAACGAACGAACGAACGAACGAACGAACGAATGAATGCATGAACGAATGAATGAATGAAAGAAGGAAGGAAGGGAGAAATGAATGAAGGGAGAAATAACTTGATTGGTCGGTTGATTGATTGTTCAAAAAATAAATGAAAATTGCTGTTGTCAAATCGCCAGAACCTACCTTTTCACTTTCTCACAAAAAAATCTTCTAACAAATTTCCGTCTACCTCACAACTTCCTCCTCGATAGATCACAGGGAATGTTTTTGTGGTGGTTGCCATTGCAGTGGAGAAGAACCTAAGAAATGTGGCCAACTACTTGATCGCCTCCCTGGCCGTGGCTGACCTCCTGGTGGCAGTCCTTGTCATGCCCATCGCTGCCGTCAATGACGTCAGTTTGTTGATCACATCGATCATCATCAGTGTTGAATTGTTAAGAGATTATTATTTCTAAATTAATATGCGTTATAATAGTTATTAGATCCTGTTAAGTGGCATCACGGCCTAACAATTATTAACTTTTATTTCGTTTGTTGTTTGAATGTGCACGTAAATGATTTTAAAGAAAGCAGAAGCTAGTGAGGGTGGATATAGTTTGAATGCAAAGAGCCATTCAACACGTTCTTTGATTGGCTTGAAACTGTTTTGTTTAACATCTGCCCTTTGACAACATGCTCGTGCACTTCGTTATGCTAAATGTATTAACAGTGCATAAATATGAGCAAATTATTTTTCAATTTTTAATTAGCACTTTATTTTCATTTTTTTTTTACCAACTAATTTTTAAAACTTTTTTTATAGGTGACCCACAAGTGGTACCTGGGCTCCATCGTATGCGACCTGTGGACCTCGCTTGACGTCATCTGCTGCACGGCCTCCATCCTCCATCTCGTTGCCATCTCCATGGACAGGTACTGGGTGGTCACTCAGATCGACTACGTTTGCCACAGACCGGCCAGGAGAATCTTGATCATGATAGCCCTCAGTTGGACGGTGGCCATCGTCATCTCCACCCCTCCGCTGTTTGGGTGGAAGCATCCCTCCAGCGATCCCAACCACACGGGCACATGCCTCATCAGCCAGGACGTCAGTTTCATGGTATTCTCCACACTCGGGGCGTTCTACCTGCCACTAATTCTGATGATGGTCATCTATTATAAAGTTTTCAGAGCGGCCAAGTCGAGAATTCGTAAGCAGACATTTCGAAGGAATGAGAAAAAAAATAGTAAAGTGGTTATAAAGAATGTCCACGCAAAAGTACTTGACACCGATTCAATGACAAAGAAAAACGAAGGTCAAGATAATGACCCGTCGACACTGCTAATGTCTACCAATTTGATGGCCGTTGGATACGCGGCCACAACTACCTCAAACGCTGGTATTGTAACGACGTTGGCTTTGTCGCAACGAGTCGACAATGAGGATGGCGACGGCGAGGAAGACATTGACAACCATCAGGATTATGAACGTCTTCAACGGAGACAAATGCAACTGGAAAAACAGCAAAATTACTACCAACAACAAAAACAGCAACAATCGAATACCTCCAACGAACTATCAACAACTACTCAAGATAGCAACAACACCAACACCACCAACAACAACAATAACAACACCAACAATCACACTATTTCTAACTGCCAAGAGAATACTCAGACAAGTAATTTTAATCACATCGTAAAAAAGTCAAAAAATTTAAAAAAATTGTTCATCGATGTCTCAAGAAATTTCTCAATAGCAGTCGATAAGAAAAATAAGAACAACAAAATGAACAAGAACGTCAATAACGACAGCCTGAATGAGACGAACGACGAAAACACGAGTAGTAGCAGCCACAGCCACAGAAACGTCAACGTTCATGCCGATGCTAACGACAACAGCTGCGACTTTATAATAGAGAATAAATACACCACAACAACGTTAACAACAACAACAGCACCAACAACAACAGCACCAGCAACTACAGCATCAATCTCCACACCAACAAGCACTCCACGACTTATTGACTCGCCGTGCCGCTCAGAATTTTCACCTGGAAAGACCCCGACAAGAAACCTTCTTCTATCCAGCGTATCCAAAACATCGACTAAGCTAAACTTGACTCCGGAGCAAAAGGCTAAAGAAAAACTGGAACAGAAAAGAGAGCGGAAAGCCGCGCGGACTTTAGCCATAGTAACTGGTACTTTCATCTTTTGTTGGCTTCCATTCTTCATACTTGCTACCGTGAAACCGTTCTGCTCCGATATAACGTGTAACATTCCAAATCAAGTGATTGGCGTCATCGGCTGGCTGGGATACGTCAACTCTCTCCTCAATCCGGTCATCTACACGGTCTTCAACCCGGACTTCAGAACTGCTTTCAAAAAACTGCTCTTCAGAAGATGTTTCCACTGCAGCAATCTTTCATGAAACAAAATCTAAAAACTTATAAATTTGTCTTTTAAATGTTATTCATGACCAAATATATTTTTTCATTTCGTTTTTTTTACAATACATTTGCATAAGAATATATTGTATGCATGTGCAATATCTGTGAGTGTGTGTTTATGTTCATGTGTGCAATTTATTTTTAGTATGTGTGAGTGTGTGTTTATGTTCATGTGTGCAATTTATTTTTAGTATGTGTGAGTGTGTGTGACTGCGTTGGCAATGGCACATGTGATTTGATGTGGAATGCTCTTGGATTGAATGAATGAATCATTGGCGTTATTGCTGTGTTTGTCGTTTTCTCACTTTGTTTGCGTTTTTCTGCTTACTTGTCTGTTTCTTTTTCTGTTTTTTTTTCTGTCCGTCAGTTTGTTTGCCTGTTTGGTTGGTTGGTTGGTTGGTTGGTTGTTTGCATCGCGTCGTTCTTCTCACGGCACTATGTTGGCGGCGAATTAGTTGCCAATTTGAGGAAATAATTGATGTGCGGTTGTGCTACAAATGACTTTGTTAGCCTTCATAAATGTCTGCACTCTGTTTTTATGTTTCTGTATTTATTTATTTATTTTTATGTCTAGGCAACATGTTCAAATTGTCCACTTATTTATACTTACATTTATTTTTATACTAATTTTTTGTTTATTTGTTCGTGACCTCACTGACGTTCATGCACTTTTGTAACATGACGGTAAATAATGCTGAAGATGTTTGTGCGTTCACTGTTTGAGTGTTGCCTCGTCGGTTGTCGTTGTTGATGCCAGTTTGTTACATGTGTAGGTAGAGTTGGGAGGCCGACGCTAATTTGCCAAATGTTTCATAATTGAACGAGGTTGGAAGCTGTTACAGCCCGACCGAATGAAACGTTTAAAAAAATTTCCGACCAAATCAAAAATGACTCAGGCAATTTTTTTAACTTAAACGTGTGGAGAGATAAGAAGTGAAAGGAGAGTGTTGTGAAAATTTTAATTCGAAAGTTGCAACCGCCGGTCAGGCAAGAACATATTTAGAAAAGTTTAGAAAAATTAGCTTCAAATCTTTTTCCATCTTTTTCCATTTTTTTATGCGCAACTTTTTTGCATGTAATTTTTTTCTTCTTACTTTTCAAACTGGAGTGTATTCCCTGGTTGGTCATAACAGCATTAGTCGCCCCATTGACATTATTGTTACTGCTTGCAACTATATGAAACCGCGGATTGTCTGTATGTGCACGTGTGCATGTGCGTGTGTGAGTGTGTGTGTGTGTGTACGTGTGTGTTTACGTTTGTGTTTAAGTAAGTCACCATTCTTCACAAACAAAAGCAGAGAAACTGCTCAGAAACACATCTCCTCTCCACAACTAACAATATTATTAAGAACCAACAATAAAAACTAATTATAAAAACAACAGACAACAACAACAATAAACAACAACAACAACAAACAACAACAGCAACAACAAAAAACAACGACAACAGCAACAGACAGCAACATTCACCATCACAGCCACAACGACAATAATTAAAGGAATAAAGCATTCCGTGACAATAACAAAGAGGACATGGAACAAAACTTACCTGACCTCACCTGACCTTAATGACCCTTCGAAGCGACCACACACAAGAAATTTCTGCTGCATATGGTCGGCCTATGTTGGTCAGGTCAGAAGCTAAAAGCTTACGATGTAAATTTATTGAATGTTTAATATAACTCTCTGTGCCTCTACGTTTGTCTGTCTGTCTCTATGTGTGTTTATTTAGTAAGATGTGTTTGTGTATTTTTATTTAATATGGTTTGTGTGTTTGTATAAATTAATCTTTATGTTTGTATTTGAGAAATCTTTGTTTGTAGGCACTTGTTTGTATGTAAAGACGTATGTTTGCATTATCGCATATTTTAAGTTTAAATGCGTCTAAGATATTTTGTGTTTGTTTGTTTGTTTATGAAGTTGTTTGTTAAAAATGTGTTGTATTGCATACAATTTAGCAGACGTACGTTTGTATACATTGATGTATGTGTGTTTGTACATGTTTGTATATGTAGATGTGTATGTGTGTGTTTGCACACTTGCATATATAGATGTGTGTGTGTGAGTTCGCGTGCGTTTGCATGATGTGTGTGTTTGTATGTTTTTGTTCGAACCTCATTTCAAATTGTGTCAACAACAGTCACTTTCATCAGATGAGGTAGATGAATAGATGATAGATGGATGGATGGATGGATGGATGGACGGACGGACGGACGGACGGACGGATGGATGGATGTTGTAATTTGTATTAGAGAAGCAGTCAAAATAATTGATTTTTATTTAAGACACAATCATTTTTCGTATAAAACGAATAATCTTCTTACAAATTATTATAGCTAATATATTCTTAAAATATTGATAATCCAATTGTTTAAAAAACCTTTTTTTTAAATTAAAATACTACAAATCTCAATTTATTTTAAAATAAACTGGAACCTAAAAGTGAAAATTTTTTTAACACATTTTGATGGTGTTTGGTCTGAAAACTCAGTAATAGTTTTGTCGCCTGTGTTTACACGAAATGACATTACATAATATCATATCATATATAACAAATATAAAACAACATCAACATAACATTACATAGTATCACACTAACATAACATTATTATAACATCACATTGCATTAATATAACATTACATAACATTAACATCACGTAACATTAATATAACATAACATCTCATAACGCTAATATAACATCACAAAACATGAATATAACATCGCATAACATTAACATGGCATCCCATTACACTAATATAACATCAAATAGCATCAAAATAGTATCACATAACATGGCATAACTGTTCTCGAGATTTCGTGTTTCAATAAGATTTAAAAGAAGCTACTTAATGTAATAATAGGAGCAGAACAACATTAATAATAATAATGATAGCATTAACAATAATAATAACAATATCACCAACAATAACAATAATAACGCTGTTGTTAATGTTGTGATATTTTGTTATTAGCTCCAAAATGTAAATGTTGCAGATTTTCAAATACCAATAATTGTTTGGCATGGAATTTATTTGTTTATTTACAATGAAAATAATAAAATGATAATCATAATAACAATGATAATCATAATAATAGTTGTAATAGTATCATTTTATTATTCTATTTTTCAAGACATCGCATTTTTTTAGTTTGTTTACACAATGCATTTCCTCAGCATTTGCTGGCTTTTTAACGCTCATATACCTTTGTGTTTGTTTATGTATTTCTCTATGAGTGTATCTATCTTTCTCGTTCTCCCTACTTCCCTCTCTTTCTCTCTCTATCTCTCTCTCTCTCATAAATATATAATATAATAATGATGTTAATAACGTCATGACAACTGCGGAAAACATTTTGCTAATAATGACGACGATGATGACGAGATGGTCATGACGACGACGATGATGATGACGTCACATTGACGACGATGATGGTGAGGACGATGATGACGAGACGATGATGAAGATGATGTTGACATTGGGTCTGAAAATCCCTGGCAATGAATTTAAACGCCAGTAGTGTGTTTGTAGGTTAAGAAGAATGAGTGCATGGATGTATGTATGTATGTATGTATGTATGTATGTATGTGTGTGTGTGTGTGTATGTATGTATGTATGTATGTATGTATGTATGTATGTATGTATGTATGTGTGTGTGTGTGTGTGTGTGTATGTATGTATGTATGTATGTATGTATGTATGTATGTATGTATGTATGTACGTACGTACGTATGTATGTATATATGTATATGTATGTATGTATGTATGTATGTACGTACGTACGTATGTATGTATGTATGTATGTGTGTGTGTTTGTATGTTTGCTTCATTTTCTTTTTATATATTGCTGTAACACTTGAACGCTCGTAACTACCTAGACCAATGACATAATTTCAAAGATCTCTATCTTTCCAACACCAGTATTGTAGCTTCCAACAACCACAACCGTCAAGTGTTCGTCATTCAGTAGGTTCAAGATTTCCTATAGATAAACAAAACTGCTTCAAACGCAAACTTTGTTGAACGTTTATTTGAATGCCAATAGTAATTAAAACACTAAACCAATCTAAGTATAGCTACATAAATCGCAATTACAACTTCGCATCAAACCTCGCTTCAAAACTTTTCTTTTGACTTTGCTGCTCTACCTCTTTGTATACAAGGGATTTTTAAAATCCAAATATTACAAATATGGCAAAGATAACGAAGATAACGAATAATCAAGATAACAAATAATATAGCGCGATTTGACCATTGCAGCGATGATAACAATATTAACTACTGAAACCATTGTTACAGATAAAATATTGGTTCCGTTATCATGTGACATCATTAAAAAGCATAGGTGTTGGTATTCGCGATACAATGTTTGGGTATTATTAAAAACCCTGGTATTTATGTGGATGTGTGTAATATGATTGTATTTTTATATGTGTCTTAATTACCCTTTATAAGTGTGGTTGTTGTTCGTCTCGAATGCCTATCTTCTGAACCTGCGGCTAAATGTGTGCGTGAGACTGTTTGTTTGCGTGTGTTTGCGCGTGTGAGAGTTTGTTTGCGTGTGTGGGAGTTTGTTTGAGTATGTTTGCACGCGCTTATATGTGGGGTTTTGGTTTACATTGTACAATGTTAATGCAAACATTTTTTCTGTTATACGCATGTATATATATTATACATATTTTTTTATTTTACCAATATATACAATATATCACTGCATTGCATCATTTTGTATATAAAAAAGTTTGTGTATTAATTCCGCATATATAAATTTTTGATATATATAGATTTTTGTATACACATTTTGCATAGACATACTTTGTATATATATATATATATATAATATATATATATATAATATATATATATATATATATATATATACAAACTTTGTATATGTACAAATTCTGTATAGATACATTTTGTATGTATATATTCTTTTCTTTGCAATAGCTGGAAAGCGGGGTTTTGATATTCCTAATTA